GCGAAACTGCTCAACTTCGGCCAGTGTAGCTCACGCTACAAAAATGGTATCTTTTACACCCCTTGTTACATATAATACATCCCAAAACTTCAGTTCGACATACAGCGCACTGAAGTTGAACTGAGGGTACCAACTTTCACGAGCGACTTGATAACCGAGTTGTACAAGTTCTTAAAATAGCTAATGTGCGTGTAACTGACCGCAAGAAAAAAAAGCAGTCGGCGTTTGTTTGGCCGTACTGCAAAACCTCGGTGTTTTTTCGTTTTTTTTTTGTTTTGTTTTTCTCTAGTGTTTGATACGTACTTTAGCTGTTTAATATGCTATATTCCACCGTCATCGAGCCACTCGTAAAAGTACAGTAGTTCGACGTCCAGCACAGGTCAGTGCGCTATACGTCGAACTAAAGTTTTGGGGTGTCGTATATGTGACAAGGGTGTAATGACTTCACCTTTTTTTCTTAGAGTGCTCGTTAAACCGCGGTCAAGATGCTCATGTACATGGTACAAAAGAAACGGGGTTCCCTGCAGGCATGATGACAGATTTATCTATAGGTACCCGCCTCAAGCACGTTTTCTTCGTACATATGTGTGCTTCGAACATGGGTGCAGACAGTTTTCTTATGGCCAATATGGCGTCATACAATTGGAACAGATCAGGCACTGTCTGCAGACTGTCTTTTGTATGATGTGACTCTAGGCTATTCAGTGATGATTGTACCCTTTATGGATCTCTAATTGCGATTAGAGGGACTTGATCATCCACCTGGCGGGAAGACACCGGGCTCGAGTAGGTCTCCAGGAAGCCATATGATGTCACACCGCGCCGGAAGGGAAACTGAGGGCTGCATCCGCTCTGGCCTCCATAGGCGCGGCCACCGGATGCCGCTCTGCTCACTTTCGCGAGTTGTGTGCAGTGCTTCCGAATACCAGCGATACGAAGTAGAAATGCTGAAACCGCCGGGCAGCGGCAGAAAGTGACGTAATAAAAACGTCACATCCGGTAACGTCGTTGATGTCGTACTAACTAGTGGTGGATCGAATCTGCCGAACTTCAGATTCGACAAGGTTCGGCTCATGCCGAAATTTCAAAGGAAATTTCGGCAAAGATTCGGCAATAACGTGATTTTCATTTGATCTCTCCAGTGATGCAACGAGGTAGTTGGAACATTGACTGACAACTACTTTAATGTACTCCTCGCCATTATAGCAATCCTGTTTTCGGCTCACAAGTAGTTTGTGCCAAAACAGAATAATATTGCTTTTAAATTAGCGTTGTTTCGCGGTTTTCATTCATCCGCGCTAAAACTATACACACAGAAGTATGATGCTCGACGTTGCACATCCGAAATTCCTGACTTTTTCCAACTTCCTAAACGTCCGTTGTGTCTTAGCATCACAAACCGGCATTTTAAAAGTTAAAACCAGACCTTGCGAATATGGGACGTGCATTTTCATGCAAAGCTGAATTTACTCGAATAAAAAAATATGAATATTTACAATATTATTGTTATCTCTTTTTGTGAAGGCTCAACAGCCGTTGCATTCATTTTCGCGCACGAAACGGTGACCGGCAGAGGAAGTATAAAGCACAGTCTTACCGCTTTTTTCCATCAATGCACACTTACAGCCTTGCGCTGATGAAGCGTCAAAACCGAAACAAGCGTATAGTGACTGCGCTCGCTACTACCCAACCCTGTAGTCAAACCACTTCTGCAAAAAGTCACATTAAAATTACCAGTAAGCACACGAAAATGGCATTGATACAATTATCTTGTCGAATATAACCTTACCGTATTTACTAAAGTAATAGCCGCACTAATTATGAACAAAGCCCCCGCGTCTACTTTCCCACAGAACACATATAGAGCCATTACGTAGCGCATAAATAACAGAGCGAATAACCAGATCGAGAACATGATTCTCCATACAAATACAATCTTCACAGATGGTATCTTCGCACGAAGACGTTATCTCTGTCTTGTAAACAGCTCGAATCATGCTGTCGATTGCAGTGATTGGCAATTCGCATGCTCCGCGGGAAAGCGAACCCTCGGGTTTTCTGCATAAACAGTGTGGCTATTACCCGAAAAAAAAACAAAAAAACTATAAACTTTTTTGCGCGATAAAAATAATATATCCAATTTTAGGGCAACAATGTATTAATGCCGAATCTTTAGAAAGTTCGGCAAAACTTCGCTGTGCCGAATCCCAAGATTTGGCATCGAATTTTCGATTCGGCAAAGTTAGGCCCATCACTAGTACCAACAGTGACGTCACTTCAAAAATGAAGTGATGCCATTTTATACTTGCCGAATATCGGGATGCGAGGGTTTAACCGTGCAAAGTTGTTCGAATGGGCCAGCTGCGATACGACGAAGCGTGCTCCAGAGCCGTACGTCTCTGGGCCTACGAGAATGCTTCACGTAAGTGCAGCAACGCCGAGGCGTTGCTTCACGTGAGTGCAGCAACGCCGAGGCGGAGTTTTAAATTTGGGCTAGTTGGTCCGTGTTGACATCGAATAAATATTTAAAAAAATCGCCAACAAAGCAAGGACAAGTAGGAAGAAGTCCGCTATTTACTGCCATCTCGACCTCATCTTAAAATTTTACTTTATCTGTTGAGACACGAGGCCTTCAAAGGGCTAGCCTGGGATCATTAACGCGCATTACGCAGTAGGAATACACGGCCGCACGGTTGTACGATGCTAGCTTACCCAGATCGAAATGTGCAGGGGCGGGGATTGCACCCAGGATCCCTGAATTCTGACGCGAGTTTCTCCACGTGCTTTGAGCCATGGCCTTCTTTAATATAGAAAGTCTGTCAAATCGCGAAAGAACGTGGCCGCTGTAAAAGGGAAAGGCGATCAGAGAAGATAGAGCGCGCAGGGGCTCTCTCGGGCAGCGCCAAGGAATGCCCCAGCGGTAAAATCCGGAAATAAATAACATTTTCGTCGACCCTCCCTTCCCAGGCGCCTGTGGCCAAAAGCCTGCGGTGGCCTCTTTTCTTTTTCTCCGCTGCGGTTTGTTGTTGCTTCGCGGAGAAGCCACCGCGCGTACTGTTGGCGCTAGCTGAAGGGTTGCCCCAAAGCCGTATGTTAGAGAGTTTGGCTAGTCTGTGATCTCGCCGCCGTAACGCCCCGCCCCCGCTCCCCCCCCCCCCCCCCCCCCCCCCCGAATGCGCCAATCAGCCCGCGACGCAGAGCAAGAGGCGTGAGCACATGCGCGTGAACTTTCGGCTGCTCCCAGCTGAGCGGAGAGGGCCGCCATTTTCATTCATTCACCCGGTGGAATTAATGCATCGGATCGACAACCAAATTTTGGTTCTTTCCTTTTATTTCGCAGGCTCTGGCAAGAAAATATTATAGCGTGATCCCTAGGTGGCTTAAAAAGCTAACGAATGAAGTTTCTCCACGTTTGAACGCAAGCTTAATTATATTCAGGCGAAAAATAAATAAGCCCGTAACAGACGACGCGTAGCCTGAACTGTACTCTGCGCCGACAGAGTGTTGCGCTTCGAAATGTCGGTCGTCTCCCCCCTGCTCCCTTCTTCCTCTCTCGCTTCTTCGGAGCTCTCCTCCCTTTCCTTAACTTTTCTCCTCTCCAGCACCTTCGCCGCCACACCCACTGGACAGACTTTCTCTGGGTGCGTGACCTCAGAAGTGACTCTGCTCTACCATTTCGGTAACCGTTCGGCGCTGCTCCTCGCCTTTTTCCGGCGACAGGGCGCTCAATGGCTCTGTCGTGTAATTGACAGGCTTTCTAGAATGAAGGAGGCTACGGTTAAACACACTCGGCCATCGACCCCCCTACATTACTTGGTGGCGTTCCTTTGGATCTCTTCGAAACCATCGTATTCTTCCTTCCTTGTTGTGCGTCTTCATTTTGTGGCACATAAAGTGACAGGATGCAAGGTTGTTGGGCTGTCGTTTTGGTAGTCAACCACCGTTATTCTCGGTCAACTTGTCACTTGCAAACGTAGTGTGTGGGCTGGCGCGTTTTTCTTGTGAGGTAAATTGATTCGCGTGTTTTTGAGTTGCAGCTTTAGACCAAGGCTTGTATTTTTAGCGGTAACTATTGAAAAGCAGTTTTGTCGTTTGCAATGTGGTTCTTCAATCTAAATCATACTTGTAACACGCTCGCTTCTTCAACAATGCAGTAGTTTTCTTGCTTTTCTTTAAAACCGCCGAAATAATAATATAGGTATTCGTCATACTAAACATACCCGCCGATGCTTACAAATATTGTTCCATTGTCTCATCATGGGTTTGTTTCGGCCGACTTCATTAAATTATACATTGATATTGTGATGATAATTTAGTAAACTAAGCGGGAACATCGATCCTGTGATATTTCTTCGTTCTTGAAGTCAGCAAAGGCTGTCTAGTTATTACAGTATATAAGGCTCCGACGTGGACGTTTTCGTATTCATATATGAATCGTCGTGATGTTTTCTCAATCTCTTTACTCTATAATAATGTTAGACTTCTTGTGTAATTTACATAGCGCCCGTGACCACAGGTATACAGAGTTACTTCTTTTTTTTTTTTTAATTTGCAGTCAATTCTATTGCTTAGACATGTTTTTCTTTGACAAATAAATGTTTTCGTTAACACAAAGTTTTTCTTTTTTTAAATATCTGCTGGCGTTCTATTGACCTTGTGCTACTTGCCAGTGGCGACGATTGTCATTGCATCCTTGTCCTCACCTTTGCATCAAAAGCACGAGCTCAGATAACGTCGTTCCTAGACGTATCGCTTTAGCGGACTCTTTATCGCTATTTTAATAATACTCACATCATCACACTCAGATAAAATTTACTAATCATAAAAGATGGTGCGAGAAATCCAGCAACCTGGTCTCGCTGATTTGGAGCAGAATCATGTACAAATGGAACTGAAAAGATCCCCTGCACTGCACTATTTAATTCATGTGGGACGGTAGAACTGTGATGTGAGGTCATATATGAGAACATTCTAGGTAACATCCCTAATATTGGTTACAGGTCACAACGGCGGTGGACCAGTTCATCAGGGCTTTCCACAAGACTATGGAAAGCACACAGGAAATGGCCAGGGTAACTTTTTTTCTTTTTGTTTAGTTTTGCCAATAGTGTCGCGAACTTGTGATTTTTGTGTGTCGAATTTGGTAGTTTTACGTACCAAACCAACAAAAGGCGCCCGGCACGCCCCAGCAAGAAAACTGAGGAATAATTTGGACCAGCTGGGAATCTTTTGACGTGCAACCAAAATATCGGTTGCCCACTGCTCCGCCGCAACCAGCCTTTTTATCAGACTGCGGGCATCTCGGCCGGGATTGCAACCTGCCACTGTACGGAGATCTTTTTTTACCCTGAGCAACCGTTGTGGCTATTCTCGTGGGCGGTCTCGCCTATCCACCACGTTAGAATTTACGCAAGAATATGAAGAACCTTTTTTTTTCCCCTTTTTCATTTGCGCACGCTTTCACGCAGGTCAGCATCCTGGAGTGAGGCCACATCAACCAGACTCTTTTGGTGGACACAATGGGAGGCCATTGCCTGGCGACCAAGGTAGCCCAGCTCGCGTCGAATCATTTAATTTGCATCCGCTTGTCGTTATTGGCGTAGCTCTACTTGCAGTCACTGACAGCTTAAGAAACCCGTAGCTTCTTATGTTCACGCTGCATGCTTTGTGATTGGCGGTCTTATCGGCCGATGCCGCATTGACTGCGATTACGAGATGCCCAGGGCCTGCCCCCCCCCCCCCCCCCCCCCCCGCGTTTCCCCAGTTGACTCCAGAGGCTGCGTAGTGCCAATAGGCAAGGCCCCTTTTATGTTTGTTGCTCGCTTCCATGCAGGCCCAAACACCGGACCACGGCATCCAGATTCTTTTGGCGGTCATAATGGAAGGCCAGGGACAGGAGACCAAGGTAATCAAATCACAACAGACCAGTTCATTTGCAGCTGCTTGTCGTTAGCGATATATATATAGTGAAGGAAGAAGGGAGAAAGTGATTATTGAATTTATTTGCAGTAAAGTTAAGGAAGGGGAAATAGAGCTGGGGAAAAATTGGGCCAGGAGCGGGGTTCGAGCCCCGCAAACTTCGCCTATCCGGGGCGACGCCTTTTAACTGACGAGACCATCCCGGCCAATAGTTTCGGCGGACTCAATTATTGACCAGCTCTTTGTGTACTGTTAGTTTTGCTTTGCTTCACTGAATAGGCGCCAGCCACCTCCTGCATTAAGGCATGTGCTAGTTCCGAGTGGCGGCAGTGACGTAACACGTCATTTCAGCTCGCAAATGTCGAGAAGGGCCCGTCTTTCAAGTTAGTTTAGGGAACCACTCCTCCCCATGAAATCAGACTACCAATTATATACAAAAGTTATAAGTGGTCTTCTGAAACTCTCAATTGAAGAAAATGGAGCCCGTTTTCAGTAGTTTGCTTTATTCAGCCCCACGTATTCGTAAGCTTTGTTCGTCACCATTTTACCATTGAAAAGTTTCGAAAACCACTTATAACTTTTAAATATGACAACGGTTCGTTCTGAAACTGTGCCATCTGGTTCAGACCGCTAGTGCTACAATTGGGCGAAAGCTGAACGCTTCAAAAAACGTAATTAATGTTTGCAAAAAACAAAAACAAAAAAAAAGTTGTAAATGTTTTTTGTTGTTGTTCCTTAAAGGGGGGGGGGGGGGGGAGGGGCATTTTAATTAGAGCGTGTTTATACCGCTGATAGGGTAACAATGGTGCACGAACTGTATCCTACACTTTTGTTTACGTTTCAACGCAGGCCATAGCAGTGGAGTCGAACCCCACAATCAAGGCTCTCCTGGTGGTCATGGAAGGCCAACGAGAGGAGGCCAAGGTAATCGTACTGCTGTTTTAAAGTGCTAGCTTTATATGAGAACCTTTGGTTGATCGTGTTGGTGTTGGTCGCGCCGTAGCAAGGGCATGGAAAAACGTATTAGCAACCGAAAGCAGCTTTTAGTTTGACGTCATAGCGCGCGCGACCAATTGCGTTGCACCGCTCAAATCGGGTGAGAGGGAGCCGTGTACAAACACTCTCCTCTCCTCTCTGCTGCGTAGAGATGGGGGCTGCGTAAAAGGGTAGAAACGGCATATTAGTAGATGAATATTCTAGTGGGAGCGGAGGCTTTTCAATGTGCTTCTGGTGAAAACCTCCATCGGAAGTGCTATTCCACCTTTGTGGCATTCGGCGAAATGTCTTAGCCAGGCGATTTTTACCCCAACCTGTATGGGATTGAGATGTTTATCAAGCTAGGAAAAAACCAAGATTTTCCCATGATTCAATCCAGGTCAAGGTTCCGGGTCCCCACCACAGCATCAAGGTTCACAAGGAAGTCACAAAATGCCAAATCCCACGGATCAAGGTAAGTTCTCCTGACCGACGTCAGGAGAGGTGATATCGCGATAGCTGAGTGAAAGCGAAAAGGATTACCCCAATATATGCTCTTTCCTAAGTACGCGCCATCTATAGCAGCTGCTGCGCTAATACTCCGAGTTCGCCATTGTTTGGTCACACTTCTGGCTGTGAACTCGGCTCAGTTTATATCGAGAGGAAGTGCTGCGTCAGGATTCGGCGAGAACTCGGTTCCGATCCCACGGCTCATGCCCAAGAAATGGCGACCACGAAAGTCTCGCTTGATAGGGCTTTTAAAAAAATGGTATATTGCATGGACGACGTAACGGTATGCATATGGGTATACAGGTCCATCTGGTAAATGGGGATTCGACTCGTGTCACGGGTGCGCAAATGGGCCCTTTGCCAACAAAAGCCTTTCGCCTGATTCGCCTGATTAAACTATGCTCGTCGTATTATCGTTCTTCAATCCCCACCCCTGCTCCTTTCGATCTGAATGAATATTGTACCGGTGTGCGGTCGTGGGGTCACTACTGTGCAATGCACGTTAAAAGACGCTAGGCTAGCAGTCGTTCTGCACTGGCTAAATTTATCACCTTCGGCGTAGACACCAGACGCCCACTGGTGCTGACTAACGGTGTCTGAAGCTGAACAAACACACAAGTCACACTGCTCGTCGTGCATCATACAAAAGACAGTTTGCCAACACGGGTCACAGCAATATCCGTGGTTCGAATGCGGTGCGCCAAGTTTCTCATTGAACTCATTGCCATGCAGCGTTCGAAGCACGGATTTCGCGGTGACTCGATCGCGTTTGGATCCGTTTGCCGACTGTCTTTTGTATTGTGTATGAGCAGTGTGACTTCGGCTTTAAAAACGACATCGCATGCCTTTATGAGCTGGACTAAATTTTTCTCTGCGACGCCGTGGCATCTCCTGACCCAAAACAATTATAAAAAGAATACTAATACATACTAATGCGTAAAACAGAAACAGTACTCAACGTACTTATACAAAGGCCATCCTGCTTGCGATTTTCAATCGCAACATCGCTCGTGAGGCAAAAAAAAAAAAAAGCGTGGACGGAGGCGACGGTGTTGGGCGCCGCAACTGACAACTGCAAGCAGAATCGCACTGAGTGAATCGGGTGTCACGTTCAATAGAGCTCGGTACCTTTCATTGGCAGCTACCTGTAGCGTCAGACCCTTGATATGTGAAAGTAGATATCCTAGACGTGCTTGTGTCTTATTATCTAAAATAAAACAATAATATCACTTGTCCTAATCAAATTTAAACTTAAGCGTTCGCGCAAACATGGCGAAAAGCTATGTAAACAAACTCTGACTTACTAATCCCTGACTACGGTGACAACGATGCCACAGGTACCATTAACCACTAATCCCTATGAGCCAAGGACAGTGCATCACTGCGGGCGTAACTCAAGGCTCGCTTAAATCTCCCCAACCCCCGACGATGTCTTTGTGTGCTTACGCGAGAGACACCAGAAAATAAAAAAAGAAAGGGGACGAGCCAAGTTGTAAATTTAGTTCGTTATTATCCAAGACAGCTTTTTAAATGTAAATAAATATTTGTAGTCACTGACAGCTTTATTAAGAAATGCGGGGCGTGGCATACTACGTTTACGCTTGATGTTTCGTGATTTGTTGTTCGGCATTGTTATGGGCTACTCTCGGACTCTCATTGTCTCAGGGCGCCATTTCTCTTAAAACATGTCGACCGATATGTTTCGTGTGGTCAGCTGGTGACGTTAATGCGTAGAACGATTGGTAACGAGCTGAACTGGCCGTCACGTAATGACATGCGTGCGAGCTGTCTCCGTGTGCTGTGCACTCTGAAGAAAAAAGGGTGTCAAAAGGTGTATTCTTACACCCTTTGTCCCATATAATACACCCCCAAACTTAAATTCGACGTACAGCGCCCTACAGTCGAACAGACGGCCAGATATTTTACGAGGGCCTTGATAGCCGTGTGGTACAACTTATTAAAATAGCTAATGTACGTTTTACTGACAACAAGAAAAATAATCGGGGTTTTCTTGGCCCTACTGTAAAAACGCGGTGTTTTCTTTATGGCGTCTTTGATACGTACTTTAGCTATTTAAAATATTGTACCAAACGGCTATCAAGCCCCTTGTAAAATTTCGGGCCGTCTGTTCGACTGTAGGGCGGTGTACGTGGAATTGAAGTTTGGAGGTGTATTATATGGGACAAAGGGTGTAACGATACACCTTTTGACACCCTTTTTTCTTGAGAGTGTGCCAGCTCCTCTGCGACTTGCTCACCTTATTTTCCTGCTTGCCCGCTGTACCACCCTGCAAAGCGTTTGTGGCCAATGTTTTTTTATTAGTTTGCATCGCGTTCGCTTGAACGTGGGACTCGCAACGCATTAAAATATAATAAAGGCCTGTTCACACATGCAGCAAAGCGCTATATGTATAGTGATGACCTCGCGCTAAGCGCGTGCTGACGGAAGCGTTCACCAGCTATTTATCCCACCGTCAAACCTGTTGCTCATGGCAGACGATAAGTAACTGACGACACATGAGCAGAACTACATCAGCGCTTCGCTGCATGTGCGAACCTGCCTTAATTTATGTATTTTGAACATAATAGGCGAAAAAAGTTCGGAATTTTGAGCACATTTTGTATTGCTAATTGCGTAAACGACAAGAGCATGCAACAACCATGCGCGCTCTTCCTAATCGATGGAATTAACATCCAGTTAGGAATGTGTGAACACCTTACCAATTTACGGGTGTTCCAAGCAAAAAGTTGAGTGAGAATCACGCGCTTAAAGGATCAGAAGTCACGTGCACCTATTCAGCCAGTCATACCTCTAGAATCATATGCCGTCATTATCCGACACTCTAGACCAATGTGGTCACTGAACGCTCGTGTTTGACAATGGTAGGCACGCCCTTTGAAGCAGCATTTGGTTTTCTTCGTCCCTTCGCAATGCCCCTTTAAGCTGAGACTGCAGCCAAATCAAACTTGTGCCTATCTAAAATACTCTAGTCACATACTGTATTTCAAATACTTTTTGAAGCATTTTGGTGTCTGGAAAATACATTTAGTCAAGAGTGTTTCCTATTCTAATTTAATTACATTTCTCGCTGTCTTGTACTCAGTGTCTCAAATACATTTTGCAACTTTGGAAAAAAAATTCGCCGGAACAGTCTACAGAACTAGGGATCGTCAGTCTCCAGGGCTATGATGAACCGATTACAAACTTGGAGCCAAGCGACTCTAAACAGGTAACAAGGCACGACCAAAACGCAGTCTCCAAATGCTAACAAAAGACCCTATGGATAGCCTCAAGTACGCCCGCCTTTATTTGTTCTCTTGTCCTATTGTGCATTCTTCTCTTTTTGATTGAAGTTTGAAAGGCACGTCACTCTTAGAGTTGCAAAATGCTGATGGCGTCAATCGGATTTTACACTCAGACCCCAACTTTTGCCTGGAACTAAAGTGGTTTCATCAGCGGAGGATTGTGACGGTTGACAAAGTAGAAAACGCGTGCTAAGCTCTAGGCATTGTTTGAAGTTCGACTATTGTCATCACCGCAGTGACTGGGCACGAGCCACTACCCGAGTGCCCTCCGAGGCATTGATTTCTACGAGCCGAAGTCGAGTGCTCACGCAGTTCTCGTGTTTAATCCACGATCCGCGCTGGAGTGTCGTCAAGCAGATTGTTTTGATCCCAGAATTACATAATCAAGCTTTGCGAAGGAAAGAGTGAAAGAAATAGTCCTCTTTTATCCTCCGAATTCGCCACGACAAAGAAGCTTCTAAATCAGTGGCGGTTTGTGCGAGTATACTTGGGCCAGACTAGGGCCAGTACCCCTCTGCAAAGCCGTAAACATTCTAACCCGATATTGTTTCATAACCCCTTTAGGCATTCACTTGAGCCGCTAGATGACACTGAATTTCGGAAGGCGCTGTGTGAAGAGGCGCGCATCCTTCAACAGCAGCAGTGCCTCCCTATTCTAGAACGATGCTGATTTGAAACAATAGTATCATAGAGCGCTTTTTCTAAATGCTATCGCTTTTAAAAGCGCTCTGTGACCACTTCAATTTCAGTATACTTCGTCTAACCTTAGCATGGACGTTCGCCTCGCATGCTAAAAGCGCAAGCGAGTTGCTTCGGAGCCCCGGCGGCTGTACAAGCGCTCGTGCAGCGAGTGCCCCAGTCAAGGCAGTCAGGCCAGCCGCTCGCGCTTGCACTTCTCAGTTAGTCCATGCTGAGGTGTTTACCCACCAAAAAGCGCCCACGTGGTTTTAAACCCCTAGCGGCGCGCGCTTTATTGCCTCGTTATCGCGCGTTTCCTGCGTGTCTTTGACCGGCGTTCCCCTTCTTGCGTTCCCATGGGCCAAAGACGCAATGTGGAACACTTGACTCTCTGTATACTTTCGGCTCCGGCGCTCAGGAGGGTGTACGTAGTGGTCTAACTTGCACGCTTGAGTACCCCATTTTCCGGCGATGAGGAGCGACTCACTCGGGACAGAAGCATGCGGTGGTGGAGGAAATGGCGCCAAGACTAACACGACTAACAAACGGGAGCAAGAGGATTGCAAACATGCCGAAGGTGAGCGATTACGCGAGGAGTAGGCTCACCACTGCCCGGTGTCTTTTGCTCCCAGGCAACGCCATGGCCGGGCAGCCCTGCAGACAGAAGGAGTGCCCGCCGCAAGACCCCGACGATTACATCCACCTGATCGACCCGAGGAGGGGAAAGCCGTAGCGAAAAACCCGTCAACAGGAAGCGGTCCTGCATGGTCCGAGAGATCTGGCATCCAAAGTGGACTTTAGTTCTACATCTGTTTATACTCCGCTTCGCCCTATTTCGGACAGAAGCAGACTGTGCTAGCCGATGGAGCGAATCAGTGCCAAAGGTGCAGCGTCATGCTGGTCGTCGTCTTTGTGCGTGTGCAGCGTCGGCTAAATCAGTCAAGCACTAGAAAGGAGCCGAGATATTGCGCTTTCAGTACGTGCATCTGCATTTGTATGTGTCGTGTTATATACTCCGTTTTACTGTAATTCCGGCCGTAGCCGACGCAAGGGTCCAATGGAGCCAATCAAGCACTACAAAAAGTGCATCGTCATGGCGCTCATCGTCTCTGTGCGTTTGCTATCCGCGGCTGTACCAATCAGGAACAGTAAAAGCCCCATGATCCTGCGGTTTCTTCTGTGTACGTGATTGGTTTTAACCGGCGATTTTCAAACGCACAAAGACGAGGGCGGTGACGATGCACTTTTTGTACTGCTTCACTGGCTCCATTGGACCGTTGCGTCGGCTGCGGTCGGGCTTCATGTGAAAGGGATTAAATTTCACTGCGCTCCGACTTATTTTTGTAAACTTGGATTGGGTAATAAAAGTAATTGGGAAGCACTTGGCATTGGCTTACTTTTGGGACGATTGATGCCAAGGACGCCCGAAATGTGAAGAAATAATCGAAGAGGCCGTACCACGTTTTAGAGCGCAGCTCTTAGGCGCCCGTTTCCGGCTTGAGCGGCGTCGCCGTCGCCGTCGGCGTAACCGTAAGGTCACGTGACCCCCGTGAGGTCACGTGACCCCGGTGACGTCACGTGACCCCGGTGCGGTGACCCCCGTGAGGTCACGAGGGCCACGCGACGTCAGGAAGGTCAGTGACCTCACGGTTACGACGACGGCGACGCCGACGCCGCTCGGATGGAGGAGTAGCGGGCAGGATGAGGAGGTGAGGAGGAGGGAAGAGGGGTATACCCTCCTCTCGGTAGCCTCCCTCCTCCTCCTCAAAAGCTGCGCTCTAATTTGGCGTTACAGGGAGTTGAAAACTGCTTTCATTTTTTTCTTCTTTTTTAGCATTTTGAAACGACCGTGCTGCTTCACATAAACGGCTCTCTCAACATTGTTCTAGGGTTGAAGAATATACTGTCAAGCAATTCAATGCAGACAAAATGAACGACATGATTGTCACTTGTTAAGGGAACCCAAACATTCAGTTTGAACGAAGTGGGGTCATTTTCCCGAAGATTAAGCATTTAGGTTCATGAAATGTTAATTTGGCGACATTTACTTTAGTGTACAAGCTTATGTTGATTAACAGGTAATTCATTCGTTTTTTTTTTCTGATAGAAAACAAAGACCGAGCTCACAGATGTTTATTTATATCGTTGACAACCAATATCGTAGAACGGACTCAAGATAAAACGAGCAATAGCTATTTTACGGCTTTTCAGTTTGTGATTACCAGAATCAATTTGGTTTTCATTTTGCAATAATAATATTTGTAATAACATATATAAAACGTAGTGACTAAAATTTTGTGTCTAGATTAGAAAATATTCTTGCGAGGGCTGCGAGGCTCCGCACATTGTGTCCACTTCAAAACTAAGTTAACTTCTTTCGTTCGCATGCACTGTTTTTGATAGTTTTCAAGCGTGCGCAAAAAAAAAGATCAGTGTCAGTCGTAGCCATCTTGCAACGTTGGAGTCAACGACACGTTGCGACACGACCGATCAGCTCGTGATTAGAGTGACCCGTGACATGACTTACCCGCGAAACGTCTGCTCGTGACATGGCTGACTCGTGACACGACTGATAAGTGGCACGACTGCTCCGTCATATGACTTAAAGTTCCCTCACATTCAAAATCTACGAGAACATTCGCTCGCCCTACACATTTATTTCGATCGAGGTATGTCTTTGTTGACATCTCTGTCTTTTTTAATTGAGGTATTTAAAAAATAGGACACGAGGTATTCGTTTAGCACAGACACATCGGAAGTACGCACATTTTGGTATCATTTAGAATTAAGTTTATGAACTTAATTCTCGCCTGCACACTCACCGTCTTTTCACTTTTGTCGTTGCTTTCCAGTTTTTTTATTAATAATATATCATTGTACGAATATAATCTAGCTATTTCTTGCACTTTCCAAATTGTCTGTTCCAACATTTCGAGTCCCAAGTTGGCCTTGCACAAACTTTCTCGCGAATCACAACCCGAATATAGCCACGTGTGGATTTTATAAAAAAAAAAAAAAAAGGGATCTAGTTATCTTTACGCACGCGTCTGTACTTTGTGACGGAACACTTACATCTTAGTATCTTGAAGCAAATCTATGTAGCGGTTTTTCTTTTTTTTCTGCGCACGCTTTTTAATCGGATGAGTCAACCGTGAAACAAGAATACACGCGGAGGGCACTGCGCATGTTTCGTATTTTGATTAGCGGCACTACTCCTCACTGCGCATGTTTCGTATTGTCATTTGCGCCACTACTCTTGCATGGTATCAACAGTGGAAGCACAATTTACTGCTGTTTGCGCGGGGTTTGTTTCTGGCTTGCCGGGTACGAACTGAAATATGACCAAAGACTCTATGAGCCCAGCGCAACCGTCAACGAGCCAGCAATGTGCTGGTGCTGCCAAGGATAGGGATGTTGATGAGAACAAAAAAGAACGACAGTGGCCGGCGTACAGACAGTAGTTTGCAGTGGTGAAGGTGGTTGCTAACAGCTTGACCGCAGTATGCAAACTTTGCCGCAAGGAGTACTCCGACAAGTCTTCCTGTTCAAATCCTAAAGAACACCTCGAGGTAAGTTTTGGTCTTCATTATTTTCATAATATTGACCAATTTTCCAGCTGAACTATATAGTTTAAATTTACCGCTATGGTAGAAGCCCGACTGATTCATGTCTATATTTTTTTCTTTCAGGCACTAATTTCGAGAAGAAACTGCTGCTAAGTTACAATATGAAGTAAAAGCGTAATTTTTAATTTTATGCAGTAAAACTTGGTGAAAGTCGTTTTCTAGTTTTTCCTAAATTTTTGTGTTATAGAAAAGAAACTGCAAAGTAACGTGGCTACTTATTAAAAGTAACCGTTCTGTAAGGAGTTACTCTTTTGTTGCGGTAACTGAAACTGTAACTTCGCTACTTTTTTCTGAAAGTATCTGTAACTGTAACGAATTACTCAAACTACTTTTTAAAACCTGCTTACCCAAGACTGCCGCCACCCTGCCAGTGACCACAATTATTTGCTCATCAATGCTGTTTTCTTGGGCTGGCTCAATCTCAAGGCAACAAAGGAAAACAACTTCGAAGATCGGGTGGACTTTCCAAAACTTGTCCCAATTCTTTGGGTCAGTCTGGCTGTACGGCTGTCTCATGTGCAGTGCTTACCTGATACTAAAATTCGGTTGACTGCCATTGAGGCTGCCATTATAGGAATTTTCGTCCCAGCTTGCCAATACATCCGAATTTCGGGATACTTCAGGGCACCCATGACCATGAGGATCGCAAATAACCTTGGTCTCTTGAGGTGTCGTGTCGAGCTCATTCCCGCTCATCTGCAGAAAGTAGATGTTCGTTAACTTTGATAGTTGCTCGAACACCTCATGTGAAAGGCACATCATAAACTGTTCTGGAGGTTCTAAAGGGGTCAAGCCACCCTTCATCCGATACGTGCAGTCTTGAGGACCCGGAGCGAAATCTCGCGCGAACCACTTCAAGTGACCCTTTTTGGAAGCTGTTGGGGGCTCTTCCTCATCGGCTCGCGGAGCTGAAGTCGACGATCCATGCTCTGGATTTGTCAAGAACCTGTTGAAATCAATTGAGCACAAAGTATTCACGAAGAAACAATATTACGTAGTGAGAAACTACTATTTGTATAAGATCAGTTTACCACTTTTGTGGACTCTGAATTTCCAAACTCGTCATCAGACGAGCCCCGTCGGAGATTTCATCATCGGCGATCTTTCCGAGCAGAGCTGAACCTTCTTGAAGTTTCTGTTGTTCTCGGGCATGAGCGCGAAGAGCTATGTGTTAAAACCAAACCCAGTGCATTGTAAAAGCCTGTTGCGCTAAAATCGGAATTCTAAAGTAACAAAAAAGATCGCAATTTCCAGGTGTGGCGCACGGCGTGCCCAAGCGAGGACAGCGAAACTCATGCAACGATTACATTCAAACATCTGCCCCATAAAAGCTATAACCTACTCTACAGTAATCCAAGTACTCTTATAAACACCTCGGGATGTTAAATTAGTTACTCAGTTTTATGATTAACCGGCTATTATCGTAAATGTGGAGCCACACGCCATAGAAGTTAACCCGACACGCCGTAGAACGCAACGTTACTCGATCAACTCAGTTGGCAAACTCCCACGGAAAGCGTGATCCCTTCAAAGGCACGCGCTGGCACACGTCAGTTCCCGCTGATAACCCCTATATTCAAAAATGCTGTTTGAAGCGTCATCCTTGCCATGTTTTGAACTGCTGTTGCAAGACGCGCCGCAGCGAACACAAGGGGTTGGCGCTTCGAACAGCGTTAGCCCGGCTGAGGGGTACGAGAACACGGGCGTACCAACTTGTTTTTGAAGGGGGGGGGGGGGGGGGAAGGAGCACACCAGACCCCCCCCCCCCAGGGCCGGGGCCCTTGGTATCCGTGGATGGATGGATGGATAATAATGGCCTTTATAACGGGCGGTAGCTTGCGCCACCTAGCCTAAGTCTAAAAGACAAAGACATGATTCCTCCCTCCCTTTTAATACCAATTTTCTCCCTCTATCACCAGGCAGTGTGGGATATCACCAGGATGACCTTCAAGGGATCGGGCAAAAAAAAAAAAAAATCGCCCCCTGCCTCCTTCCTCCGGCGAGGGACTCGCCAATTTTTTTCTGGTCAAACCTTGTCGGCGTTACCCCAGCACCGGACCCACTGGGAGACAGGGTTGAGCCTGTGGGCCAGAGCCACGCGGGAGGGAGTCCCAATTTTCCTCTGTCCTGCCTGTCCCCAGCTGTGGTAGTTAGTTGTCCATCATTTAATTTTTTTCTAGATAATTTCCACCAATCATCTAATCGCCTCTTTGTCACTGTAATCTTTTTCTCTTCCGTCCTTCCATCGTCGCCAGTAAAACCCAGGGCCCCGGCCAAATCCGTTACCCCTTCAGGGAGGGCAGGGCGAAGCCCCGTGCCCTTCAAAACCAAGCGCTCTATTGTCTCGCTATCATTATGGCAGGCGGCACATAATGTGTCTGTCTCCTGAAATTTAGCCCTATACGTCGTTGTCCTCAAAACTCCAGTTCTCGCCTCGAACAGCAAAGCACTTCCCAGTGAATTGTCAAACACTTCTTTTCCTTTCTGATGTCCAGCTTTCGTGACCTGTTCACTGTTACAGCTGATTTCTCCTGCATTCTTCCCTCCCACATTTTCCTCTCTGCCTCTTTCACATCCTTTTTCACTGAAGTAGTTTGTTCAGCCTCATCACCAGTGTGTAGGTATTTAAATGTGAGCTTTCGGGATCGGTTTCTTCATTTTGTCTTTACACTATGTATAAATACTTCAATACCTTCCGTGCCAACCGCGTATCATCCATTTCGGTCAACCTTTGTTCAAATTTCAACTTACTAGTT